AAAACCAAAATCGCATTTGGATAGAAACTGTTTCTCAGGCGGCTAGTCCTAGTCTTTATAACCCTGTACCTTCTTCCAGAAGGCAGAAGCTGAAAGAGATCATTTCCGGGGTGCGCACTATCCTCCGTTATCTCTGCAGCTTTCTTATGGCACCTGGAAGCATAGATTTGATCCAAGGTGGGAAGAGTGCACCCAGTTATTCTCTTATCACCGTCAGAGTAATAATAACAATAATAGTTTTTGTTTTTATTATTTATACCTCGCCCATCTGGCTGGGTTTCCCTGGCCACTCTGGGCAGCTCCCAGCAGAACACCAATAACAATAATAAAAAAGCGATAGCCTCAAACATTAAAAACTCCCCTAAACAGGGCTGCCTTCAGGTGTCTTCTAAAAGTCAGAAAGTTGTTTATTTCCTTGACATCTGATGGGACGGCGTTCCACAGGGCGGGTATCTGTATCATGCATTTCAAGTATTTTAAAAGCTTGACCCTGAGATAACATATTAGGACAAACATAATATGTTATAAAGGGACACGGGGGGGGCGCTGTGGGTTAAACCACAGAGCCTAGGACTTGCCGATCAGAAGGTCAGTGGTTCGAATCCCCGCAACGGGGGGTGAGCTCCCATTGCTCGGTCCCTGCTCCTGCCAACCTAGCAGTTTGAAAGTACGTCAAAGTGCAAGTAGATAAATAGGTACCGCTCCGGCGGGAAGGTAAACAGCGTTTCCGTGCACTGCTCTGGTTCGCCAGAAGCGGCTTAGTCATGCTGGCCACATGACCCGGAAGCTGTACGCCGGCTCCCTTGGCCAATAAAACGAGATGAGTGCCACAACCCCAGAGTTGGCCATGACTGGACCTAATGGTCAGGGGTCCCTTTACCTTTTAATATGTTATAACCAGTAATCCAGTGATATTCTTCCTGTAGCTTGGAGGGGGGTTAAAGAACACAGATCTCAATGCAACCATGTTTTTAAAATAAAAATTAATAAAAACTGCTACAAAAAGAAAAAGAACATGCTTTGTGGGTGGAAAGTTCCGGGTTTATTTATATATATTACCTACAGTGTTGCATTAACATCCCAACTTTCCCTCCGTGGAGCCCAAGGCGTCGTTCATGGTTCTGCTCCGCTTTTAATAACCCAACAACAGCCCTGCGAGGTAGTTTAGGCTGAGAGAGGCAGTGACTGGTCCAGGCTTACCCAGTGAGCTTCATGGCCAAGTGAGAATTCGAACCCTGGTCTCCCACGTCCTAGTCTGGCTAATCCCTAGCATCTCCGTTTTGGCAGCGGAGGGAAGCTATCACTCAGCAGTTGAGCATCTCCCCCTATTTTTGCAGAAAGTCCCGCTTTCAATCCCTGACATTTCTAGGTAGCTCTGGGAAAGAGCCCTGCCTGAAATTCTGAGGAATGCTGCCAGTCAGTGTTGGGAATACAGTGGTACCTCAGGTTACATACACTTCAGGTTACATATGCTTCAGGTTACAGACTCCACTAACCCAGAAATAGTGCTTCAGGTTAAGAACTTTGCTTCAGGATGAGAACAGAAATCGTGCTCCGGCGGCAGCGGGAGGCCCCATTAGCTAAAGTGGTGCTTCAGGTTAAGAACAGTTTCAGGTTAAGTACGGACCTCCGGAACGAATTAAATACTTAACCTGAGGTACCACTGTACTGAACTGGGTGGACCAATGATCTGACCTGGTGAAAGGCACCTTCCTGTGTCCCCATGAGAGTGTGAGGAAGCATGGGTAGGCAAACTAAGGCCTGGGGGCCGGATCCGGCCCAATTGCCTTCTAAATCCGGCCCATGGACGGTCCAGGAATCAGCGTGTTTTTACATTAGTAGAATGTGTCCCTTTATCTAAAATGCATCTCTGGGTTATTTGTGGGGCATAGGAATTCATTATTATTTTTTTCAAAATATAGTCCCCCACAAGGTCTGAGGGACAGTGGACAGACCCCCTGCTGGAAAAGTTTGCTGACCCCTGTGACCATGAGATGAGTTCAGGTGCCCTGATGTGAGAGTAGAAACAGCAGCTTCCTTATCTCTTATCTGTGCTATTCTTATCTCTGTGCTACAGAACCCTGAAATGATATTAAAATGTGGGGTATCGGGGGAGGGAGAGAGGAGGCAGCCCATAACCAGCAGCTTAAATATGTTTTTACCCCTTTTAAGTAACCCCAATATAACCTTCCCCTTCTTTTTATCAAAGAGACCAAGGCCACACTGCTGTGATAATCATCTCTAAAGAAACCTCATGAGGACTAGGATATCACCACCCGTATTATAAAAGGGTACCTTGCTTTTGCTGTTGAAAGCGAACAAGTTCAGGTGAAGAATTCAAACAATTGGGAAGTAGGGGAGCTTCGTTTGGGGAACCCGGAGCAAAACTCACCAGGTTATCTTCCAGAGGAAAAACACAGAAAATAGCCATTAAAAGAAGAAGAAGAAGAAGAAGAAGAAGAGGAGGAGGAGGAGGAGGAGTTTGGATTTGATATCCCGCCTTTCACTCCCTTTAAGGAGTCTCAAAGCGGCTAACATTCTCCTTTCCCTTCCTCCCCCACAACAAACACTCTGTGAGGTGAGTGGGGCTGAGAGACTTCAGAGAAGTGTGACTGGCCCAAGGTCACCCAGCAGCTGCATGTGGAGGAGCAGGGAAGCGAACCCGGTTCACCAGATTACGAGACTATTGCTCTTAACCACTACACCACACTGGCTTGCAATCTCCTGTTTTGTGAAAGTAGATGGGAGGAGGATATTGAGAATGGAGCAGGCATAGTGAATAATGCCTTCCTTTTCCCTGGCACATAGTGCTGAAGTTTGTATTTCTGTCCCAAATGTGGGAAGAGGTTCAGCAGGGAAAGGAGATCTCCAAAGGCACCAGACATTGGTCACGGTATCTGCATGTTTGCAAGAAATGTCGGATAGGCTTTTGCACAAGACCCACCTGCTCAGGGAAAGGAAAAGGTTCTTTCCAGCGGAGCGCGTGAGACAGGCGTTTCTTTTTTCTTTTTTTTCCTGGCTAGAAATGCATGAGGCAGGCGTTTCTAGCCAGAAATCTGCCGAGGAGCTCGCTGTAAGATGTTCATGAAAGATGAACTTTTGCATCTTCTCCTGCTGTGCGAAGAGCCTGACTCCCCGAGGCGGTCACAGCATCCGTGTTGTGAAAAGGTTGGATGCGCGCACAGGTCGAGGGCAGAGCTTTGTTGACAAGGGGACCCCAATGACTCACTGGAAAATCTGTGGCGGAAGAGGGGTCATCTGTATGTGGTGAGCGAGGGGAGAGATTGGGCACTGAGAGGCGTTTGGGCGCTCGTCGGAGGAACCGCTTGAAAAATGGGCAGTGTGAGACAGGAAGCCTGTTGGAAGCCTGTTTTGACACACAGAGAAGATAAGCTGCATTTTGTTCTTCTGGGCCTGGAACCAAAAATGTCGGAACCTGCGTTCTTCTGAGCTTCTCCGGAATCGCCCTCCGACGATAAATAACGACCTGAACCTCTGATAAGACTCCAAGCACGTTCCCATTCCGCAGAGTTTCAAAGCAGCAGAAGTGACGAGATTTATTAGCTACATCCCCAGGTGTTATTTTCTAGCTACACAGACAGAAAAGAAAACATCCTCTCTCTGTGAAAGGCAGAGAGCAACTGAAACAAACAAAGGAACAGGAAACCAGTAACGTCACATCCGTCTCCTGTCTTCCGTGAGACTTCCAACAATCTGGCATGTGTGGAATGTAAACAGAGCCTTGTGACTCCAAAGCACTGCACAGTGGCACAAACAGAAACTAACAAAGCCATGTAAACGGGACTAGCCAGCATTGTCTGTTTCAAATGGCTCAGAAAAGAGAAGAGGGCTTGAATCTGGAAGCAGGTGCAACCTTCCTGAAGGTGGGCAAGGTACAGAGAAGTCCTGTCCAAACAAGGTCCCAGAAGAAGATTGTTTGTGGAGATGTAGGTGGTCCAAAGAGGGTTGTCCATTCATCTTGGGGAAATCAGGTGAAAGAGGAACTTGAGGAGACTAATAAATGGAGGGTGGCCATGGCAGAGGACTTTGAGTCTCCTTGTGAAGATGGACCACCAGAACCTGCCTATCAAGGCTACCACCAAAGACCAGATATGTCTCCCACACCTCTGGAAATTCAGACAGGGTGCAGATTGGAAGGTCCCATGACTTCTGCAGATCATTTTGGGGATGTTCGGAAAATGTGCATCAAAGCAGAAGCTCTGGAGGGTTCTGGATACAAGAGCATCTGCAACCCACATCCCACTCTGGTGAAAGCCCAGAGAGACTCGGGTCAAGGATGAGATGGGTCCAGGGAACGAATATCCTTTGGAAACTCAACAGGAGGAAAACGTTAGCTCACCGCCAACCCCATTTTTCAGCGGTAAAGACACAGCTGTTCTTGAGTTCGCCAACGACCTTGCAAGAGGCGAGAAAGGTATCTCCGTAAGGAAGAATGAGAGGCTATTCTCGTGCCCTGTGTGTGGGAAAGGGTTTAATCAGAAATCCAACCTTACCAGGCACCATAAAATCCACACCACGAAAGGGCCTTATAAATGCGGCGAGTGCGGAGAAAGCTTCCGGATGAACCGGAAGCTTCTCAGGCACCAGAGGACACATGTGAGCGAGCCTTTCAAGTGCACAGAGTGTGGGAGAAGCTTCAAACAGAGGTCCAACCTTGTTAGACATCAGAGGATTCACACTCAGGAGGCCCCTTACCAGTGTCCGGAATGCGAAAAAACCTTCAACCAAAGGGGGAACCTTTTCCGAGACCGCACAATCCACGTCCGGATGGGGCCGTGCAGTTGTACCAAATGTGGGAAGCCGTTTTCCCAGAGGAGGAACTTCATCCAACACCAGAAACTCCACGTGAGCGACGGGGCCCACAAGTGCTGCGAGTGCGGGAAGCGGTTCCGGTTGAGAAAATACCTCCGGCGACATCAGAAGATCCACAGCCAGGAAGCACCATATAGCCGTAAATGGCGCAGGGATGGTTTTGGTCTTGGGAGAAGCGCTGGAGGTCTCCACGTACTTAACAAAGAGCAGAGGGCAGACAGCAGGGAAGCTTGAGACTATCATGGAGGTGTCTAGACACATGAATTCCCAGTGTAATGCATATTGGGATTTCAGCTCCGTTCGTCCAAGCTGATAAGGCTCATCTTCCTCCGAGCCCTCCCAGCAGAGCATTAAAACAACGAAGTCCACAACAGAAGGATGAGATAGGTATGGGCTACATTGCTATGCTTTATTACTAAGCTATACAGAGAGCAAAGAAATAAACATCTCCTCTCTGTGAGAAGCAGAGAGCAACTGAACAATGGGAAACAAAGAACAAAGGAACAAAGGAAACAGGAAACCAGTAACATCACATCCCGTCTCCCTTTCCCATGAGAATCCAACAGTATCTGGACTCTGTGGAATGTAAACAGAGTCCTGTGACTACAAGCAGCTGCACAGTGAGGAAACAGAAACTAACATCCTCCCCCTTTCTGTGAACACCACTGGGCAGCATGTCAGTACAATATCAGTACAAACCCAATTTCTAACAATGCAGAGATGGACCAAATTTCTGATTTGGAATCAAGGATCAGGAACCTTTGGTTCTCTAGCTCCCATCATAAGAACTTAAGAGCAGGACAATGGCCTATCTAGTCCAGCATCTTCTACTCATGGTGGCCAACCAGAAGCCTATGGAAAATCCACAAGCAGGACTTGAACACAAGAGCCCTCTCCCCTCCTGCCGTTACCAGGAGCACATACATTCAGAAGCGTAGCACCCCCAACAGTGGATCATCTATGGCCATTGGCCTTTTGGGCTGTGGGTGATGGGAGTTGTAGCCCCACAACATATAAAGCAGTGTCTCCATCTCTTTTTGGACTACA